AGAATTGGTGGTCAGTTGTTGGTAGCCTTGGGATAGGTTTGGAGGCTGAGGTCTGGGAGTAATGAAAAGGAATCCTTCTTGGCTACTGAGTAGAGACAAGACTAAGACTTTCCAGGTGGAACCCTAGGCTTCCTTCTGTTAAGGTAGATGGGTACCCAATTCTCAATTAGGCTGCCCAGGGCAGCTTGAATGATTTCTTAACGTGCTGGTTCTGCAGCCCAGCCAAAGAAATCTCCTCATGTTCAGACAAGATATTCAAAACGATTCATTCCAGCTGAGAAAGTTGTAGCCAGCTGTTCAGAGACCTGATTAAAAAGAGTTTAGGAAAAATCCTAAAGACATACTTTTCTGGGCAATGCATATTAGTTTGATTTAGATTGAGTTGATTATATAAAAAAAAAAAAAGTACCTGAGCATTTAATACTGTAAGCATGGGGCAGAATTCAGGCCCTTCAGAGGGTGCACTGCAGGCAGCCACAGAACATTTTGTGAATTGTAAGCTGGAGGCACCGTGAACAGACTGTTCCCCATGCATCTGTGATCCAACATGTTGCACTGCAAAGAAGGTGGCAGCATAGCTCCAGGTACAAAGCCAAGCTTTGAATACTCATGTGAGGTCAGCAATCATCCAGCGAAAGCCTAATATCTCTTGAAAGAAATACTAGGCATGCACTGAATGTCCGCTGTGCTGAGCGAGTGGCTGGTTTTACAACACAGGGGAAGTTGCCCACTTTACTGGCCCATAGAAGCGATGGAGGCAGCTGAACCGCCAGAATCACTTCTATTGTAAAGCCGGCTTTACAAAAAGGTAGACAGAGTCCCAGCAGTTCGGTACCTCCGTGGCCACAAAAGGTTTAACAATGGCTGATTAGCTTTTAAAGTCCTGGAGTATTCTTTTCTGAAAACTCCAGGGCTGAAAAATTTGACTTTGTTCTCCCTTTTGGTGGAAGCTTTACAATGGGACTGGGGAGTAGAGTTTACAATAACCAACACTGTACTTGCAGATTTCATCATCAGTGAAGTAGATGTGCAGGGATGTCTGTCCTAAGATCTCAACGCTTGGGTGGTACATTGTATGTTAATGCAGTGTCTTCCAGCTTTTACCAGCCAGGTTGTAGCTAGTGGGGAGGTCAATAGGTAGGGGGATTTTGAGGAAATCCTGAGCTTGTCATTTAAACTTGTTATACCACACTCTGCCAGTTATACTAACAACTTCATTTTAGAAGACGACATGCTGAACAAAAAGGAGAATCAGTGATCATCATTTATTCGCAAAATGACTTACCCATGTGACCTTAACATTTTTACAGAGATTATCCAATTTCTGAAAGTCCTCCTTGTTGACAACATCCCCACCATGGATAGTTTTCCAGCCATTTTGCTTCCATCTAGGCACCCATTCGGTCATACCTACAATAAATATAGGCACATGAGGTTATGTACAAATCCTGCTTCAGTTTTTCCATGCAAATTTAAATATATTGAATACAAAATAAAACTGCAAAAGGTTTAATTCTTGGAAGGGAGGGGTAGTAGCCAGAAATGGCGGCGCAAGGACGGGTTTCAAAAACTATCTTGAGTCAAAGATGAGCAAATGGCAAATTGTGCTAACTCCATGCAAAAGTTGTGGATCCACAGGAGCTTAATTGTAACAGACCACCTGGTACACGAATGGGTACATCAGTCCAAAATCAGCTCCCTCTACTCTGGAACCAAAAAATCATAATTACAGCCCAAACCTCCCACTAACAACAAGGCAGGACTTGTCTATTAGGGTACAAACCAAGAACTGCCCTCATTGAGGCACAGCACAGTATACACCCAACCACACTACACCTTCCTCCTACACAAGTATGTCAAACATTCTAAGTCCCAGGAGAAAATGAGATTAGGTAAACAAACACAGGACAAGATCTTTTCATTCATGAGAACAATAGATTCTGTCCTGGCACCAGTCTGGAGTCCATCAATCAGGAGGTGATAAAACAAAAAGGGAGGATTTATCACCTAAACCTAATTACAACAGAAAATATCAAAAAAGCAGATGTCAGAAAACCAGGGACAGAGTTAACCCCTTCAGTGCTGCTGGATTCACACCCTGGACTTATAATGGGCACAGGGGGGCTTATAGACTGAGGAACCAAAGGGGTCTCCCAATACCAGTTTACAGTCTGGTCCAGGGCAGGATACCGATGTATAGGGAAACGGTCTCAGCTCCCCATGTATCCCCACATAACTTGAAAATAGGTCTCTGGGGTCCTCCTGATCCATGGAGCGTAAATAAAAAGGTCCCAAACAGCCCAAAGCACCACAGCAAGCCCCTCTCCCAATTAATAGAACCCCCTCCACAGCCAAGGACCATAGTAGGAAGGAGGCAGGCCTGCAGTCCCCTCCAAATAGTAACAGAGTCTTCGGTCACACTTGTCAAGAGACTTTAGATACAGGATAGGATGCAGCCCCGTTTTCGTGAACAATTGTGCCAAATTGGAGTAAAACCCTCAGAATCTCTACCGCAGAGAAACAGGGATGATCACTACCGACGTCAGCAGTTGCGGTAAAGCGAGAAGGATAGGCTAAAAACTCCAGTTTGTACCCGTGGGAAACTATGATTCTGGATGTCTTGATTCCAAATGGGCACAAAGTGAGGGTGCCTCCTCATTGAGAGGGGGGCTTGGTGGCAGGCTTTAAAAGGTTTAGCCGTCCAGGGTTTGTTTTTACTGGGACCCTGGGATTGGATCTGGCAAGAATGAAAGGGAGCTCTTCCTTGTCAAAGATGAGGAAGACTTACCTGAGAAACCTGCTCGCTTCATGGAATGCATTGGATTCCTCTATGAAAGGACATTGTCCTTTAAAGAGCATGCCTTCCAGGCTTCTTACATGCTGTGGCTGTGTTTTGGAGGGCATACCTGCAAGTCGAAGGAAGAAGCCTTGGGGTGGCAGATAGGGCCTAAGACTCACCCACTGGTAGCACCAAATCTTAAATGAGCGAATGGGGAAATCTCTCTGACCCTTGGCTTCACTCCCTTCAGTCAAACACATCCTGAAGAGGCCTTCAGAGACAGGGTCAAACCGCTGCCCTGAACCTGTATAGTGCCCCTACAGCTAACCCATCACGTTACTCCATGCGCCAAGGTCAGCGTCCCTCAATGTACAAGAGGAAAACCTTGGCCGAAAAGGACAAGGAGGAAGCTACACACTATGTAGTAGGGAATGACTGATTACCGGAGCTGACAAACACTCCTGGTAAACTAGACTAAAAACTAAGCAGATCCTGTTAGTGGACTATGCACTGGAGTCACCCAGGATTGCAGGATGATCTGCCACCCCACGTTCGAGTCAAACATGTCATGGTTTCAGTAGCAGTTGGCAACTTACAGGCTCAAGTAGAGGCAAGACCTCAGTGACTCATGGAACATGACCAGCCAGCGATACAAGATCAAGACTGACCTAGTCAGGAAAGCCAAAAGGTGAGCATCAGTGCAGGTAGAAGAAAACGAATAAAGGCCTTTGTTCCATGTAGCTCTGCAGCAGGTTCAGGGAGATTCTTCCTTGGCTGGCTTGCTCAAAAGTGGAATGCATGTGTAAAACTAACCAGGGGGACCTCAGCTTTGTGTCCCAGCAACATTAACCCCATCAGTGGCATACTGGTGTGAACAAGGTAATGGCATCTAGTGCTCAAGACCAATAAACTGAAAGAAGCCCCCAAAAGTTTGCTTTAATATCCCCCAAATTGTAAGAATTAGTTTTAATTATAAAAAAGATAAACTACCTCACAATGGACTGGAAAACACCAGTTTGTAATGGCCGGTAAATTTACTCAGACCTTAAAAACTTTACATACAGCTTTACCTGCTTGAAGTACCAGAACACCAGGAAAACAAGCATGACGACAGAAGGGGCTCTCTACCTGTATCTCAGCCCTCTGATTCGTCTGTCTTCCTTCCAATCTTTCAGAAACGTTTCTGTAACACAAGGCAGAAAATACTATTTCACAGCACAGATCAATGTGTTCATCACTGAATACAAAGAATTCTGAACTTTCCATTTTTAATTCCATAACTGCTTGATTTGCCTGCCCCAACATGACATTAATGTTAGCCATGCACACACACACACGTTTATTTTCCCCAGTTCAGAAAGTGTGTCATGAAAAAAAGAAAAAAGCCAGAATCAGTTCAATTATATGATCTATAGCCTTGGTTCTCAACTGGTGGGTCGTGACCCGTGTGCAGTGGGTCACCACATGCCTTCCACTTTTCTAGAAGAGGATCCTCAGCATCCCCCTAGTGCAGCGCAGTCAGTTCTTGCGCCAAGCAGCCATTTAAAATATGCTGTCTGGCGGCGGGTGTTGGCTTGAGGTTGGGTGGGCTGGAGCTTTGGCTGTGAGGGCGCTCCATCCATATGTGCGTTGCTTGTACAACTCCCTTGCATGTCCTGTAGAGGTGCCTGGACCAGAATGACATCACATTGTGGAGAGTTTTTTTTTTTTAGTGTGTGCGAGATTGTGTCTGTAAGTGTTTTTGAGGGCCCGTTCACACGCGTTACACAAAGTGCGTTACACGAACAGTTCCGGTCAGGATGAATGTATGTCCGGTCATTTGAATGGCACCCCAAACACACCTCCTTGCCCACAGTTCAATCGCCTGCACTGGAATGCGTGGTACCGCAATACCGTGCGTTCCATTGCAGTGCGACTTGGGTCACGACTTGATGACCATGGACAAATGTGGGTCCAGGTTGAGAACCACTGATCTATAGCATGGATGATTTGCCTTGATCCATTTGTTCTCTGTTGTATGTATAGCCAGCATAAGGGTCAACCGTCACTTCGGAAGATTAGCACATGCAGTTTTCAAGCATACCGAGACACCAGCAACTTTATTTTTCACATATTGTAACTTCAAACCAACTTACAGTGAACTGTCAGGACCCCAGTAGACACCAATTCCACCTGTAGCTCCATCCCTGCCATTGCGAGAACAGCATCCATCAGTGTATACCACTGCTGGCGTTTCTGTGAAAGGAAATACAAAATATATGCTTCAGTACAAGTGAAAATTAATGGTCAATATGGATTTTAAAAAGTAAAAAGTCAGCGTCAAGTCTCCCATCCAGCGTCTGAGAGCAATGGCCAGTCTGCTATTGGCCATTTTATATTGCATTTGCAGGCTGGCTACTGCACCCGCCCACTGCCAATCAGCAGAGGACGGCCTGAAGGAGAACCTTCTCCTTCAGTTTCCTCCTCTGCTGATTGACAGCAGGCAAGTAGAATAGCCAGTCTGCTATTGCAATTTGAAGTAGCGAATAGCTGGCTGGCTATTGCTCCAAGCCACTGCCTGCTGTGCTGTCATTCACCAGTGAAGTGGAAAGGTGACACTGGGGGTCTAAGAGTCCCCTAACGTCACCTTCAAGAGAAACTGTCACCTCCAATGTGTAGCCCCCACATGTGATCGCAACGAAGACAAAAATAAATAAATTAAAAAGGGAATTAAAAATACCCCCCAAAAACAATTTATTTATGGATAACCCTAAACGGATGACCAGGCTTGTGTGAGATAGAGAAAACACACACACACACTTCAGGATAGCTGTACCTGTGCTTGGTGCATAGCTCCGCTCCTCTACAAAGCCCTGGGCTTCTTGGTATGTGGAACACTTTTTGAAGCTTGCTGATGGATAGCGGTCCACTTGCTCTCTGCATTCGTCCCTGCAATGACAACACTGCTAATTCACATAGTACAGCGTGGTCCCTGCTAGTTAAAGGAGACTGATCAGAGGTATGTACAGGTTTATATACAAAACATAGGGAGGGTGAGATGGGCTATTGTGTGAATGTACGGTTATCCTGAGTGCAACTAGAATACCTCAATCTGTCTCCATATCAGCCTCTTGTAAACCCTCAACAGTAGAACTCAAGGCTGGGAGAGAGAGCCGATCAGACCCTGCTGCATGCACATACAGGGTACAGCAAGTCTCCATCAGATGTCCTTTCACTGACAAATTGCTGAGGAGTGCCATTCAGCACCAAGTCAGGAGTACTGTAACTGGATGGACAAAACAAATCCGTTGACTCTCATAAGCATTTCAAACATATAATTAGTAGTTTTCTGGAATGTTTAGCTTGAAGGGCAGGTTTCTCTCAGATGTATTACTATGAGGCACGGGTCACTTTCAATGGAGTGGCACATGGCTGGGAGCCAGGGGCGCCACCCGCGGAATGGCGCATGGCTGGGAGCCAGGGGAGCCGCCCGCGGAATGGTGCATGGCTGGGAGCCAGGGGCGCCGCCCGCGGAATGGGGGGTACAGGATGCACAAAACCTGGCGCTGGCAAGCTGTCCCGTCCCCCCCCTTATATAAAGGCCTTGCTGCGGGAAAGCAGGGCTAAGCGTAGAGCAGGGAAACCGCCGCTCATTTTGTACAAGTCCTCTGTGCAGCTGTACAGCCATCAATGGTGAAGAAGTCATCTGGGGGTACAGACGTGAAACGCAAATAAACAAATATTGAACAAACAAGGAAAGCAGATTATTCCAGTACAAGATTTAGGGGCAAGTGTCATGGTGATGTTCCAACTAGTACATAAGGATTATGGAGCTATATTCTCTATATTATCCTTATAATTTCCCCTTATTTCTTTATCAGTGGAATGGTAGATAGCTGGGAGCCAGGAGCCTCTCCGTCAGTGGAATGGCTGGGAGCCAGGAGCCTATCCGTCAGTGGAATGGTAGATACCGTGTTTCCCCGAAAGTAAGACCTAGCACTATCTTCAGGGATTTCTGTAATATAAGACCTAGTTCGGTGGTAGGTCTTATATTACAGAAATCCGCTAGGTCTTACTTCCGGGGTAGCTGCACATAAACTGTGTAAAGACCGGCCGCAGCTTCAGCCCCGCCCACACACCAGCCTGCCGCAGCTTCAGCCCCGCCCACACACCAGCCTGCCGCAGCT